GACCTAAGCATCTTTACAAAAGGAGAAAAGAAAAACAAATTCAATGCAAGCAAAAGGAAATTATAAAAAGCAGAAATTACTGAAATATTTAAAATAGAGAAAATATATTTTTACAAATCTTAAATAAAACAGAATTTTCTAGACAGATTGAGGGAAAAAAAACAAACATGCAAGATCAGAAATTAACGGATTACAAGAAAATGAGGCAATATTATGGACTGATATTTATTGATTTCCAAGAGATAGTATTAAGTAAAAAAAGCAAAATGCTAAAGAACATAGAACACTACCTTTCTAAGAATTAAAAATAAGGCCAGGCGCAGTGGCTCACGCCTGTAAATCCCAGCACTTTGGAAACCAAGGCAGGCATATCACGAGGTCAGGAGACTAAGACCATTCTGGCCAACATGGTGAAACCCCGTCTCTTAAAAAAAAATAAAAAAGAGAAGAAGAAAAAAATTAGACAACATACATGCCTGTCACAAGGACAAACCAGAAAAAAATGAGTGGTTACCTGCAAGAGGTGGGGAGGCAAATGGGGTAAAAGGGATACAGGAGAGAGTGACACTTCTCAGAATGACACTTTTAAATTTTTAAAGAATGTTAAGATCTTAAACACTCAAAAAATAAAATTATATCAATAAGAGTATACTGGTGAGAAAAGCTAAAGAAATGAATGTAGTCATATTTCATGTATGTATCATACACATAAAAGGAAAAGCAGGTAAATGAGAAAAGAAAGGGGAAGAAACATAGGAAGGAACAGAAAAATGGACATGTAAAGGGGAAGAAATGGAAGGAAGAGAGGGAGGAAGGCAAGGAGGTAGGCAAGCTTGCTTGCTTCAAGTATCTTATAAACACTAGGGAGGGAATACTGTGTGGGGTAAGGAGCAGACAAAATACAAAGAAATCTTTATTTTTAGTAGTTTGTTTATTGTTTTTTGGATGAAGCAATTTTGAAACTGTTTTAGATGTACCAAAAGTCCCAGCTACTTGGGAGGCAATACTGAGTAAATGTTTATTGTTTGTTTGATTTTGTTTGTGTGTGTTTCTTTCTTTCTTTTTTTCCTTTTTAGAGACAGTCTGGTTCGGTCACCCAGGCTGGAGTGCAGTGGTACGATCTTGGCTCATAGCAACCTCCGCCTCCTGGCTCCAGTAAATGTTTTTGATGTTAGGAGCCAATCTTCTCACTGGGCATAGAAGGCAGATAAATTATGGAATGGAAAAAAGCCAAAAACAAAACACTGTAGAGATGGGTTGGAACTGAAAGTACAATATGAACTCACATGATTTTTTAAATATATTTGTATATATATTTGTGTATATAAATGCATGTATTAACTAGCTCATTACACTAAAAGGTACAAGAATCAAAGAATCCCCAGGAGCAATGAGCCACCTAGTGCCCAGATCTTGGCTTATAAATCAAATTCCCTCACTAAAGCGAACCAAGCCTCCTATAAAATGAGTCTTATTATGACAGAAAGTTAAAGAAATACTCAAATAAATGTTGGAGACATATCACAAAGATAGGAGAAACCGTTTAAAAGCAATCCTACTGCCAGGGACGATGGCTCACACCTGTAATACCAGCACTTCAGGAGGCCAAGGTAGGCGGATCACTTAAGGCCAAGAGACCAGCCTGGCCAACATGTCAAAACCCTATCTCTACTGAAAATACAAAAATTAGCCAGAGGCTGGGTGCATAGCTCACACCTGCCTGTAATACCAGCACTTTAGGAGGCCAAGGTGGGTGGATCATCTGAGGTCAGGAGTTCAAACAGCCTGACCAATATGGTGAAACCCTATCTCTACTAAAAATGCAAAAATTAGCCAGGTGTGGTGGCATGCACCTGTAGTCCCAGCTACTCGGTAGGCTGAGACAGGAGAATTGCTTGAACCCAAGAGACGGAAGTTGCAGTGAGCCGAGATGGCAGCACTGTACTCCAGCCTGGGCAACAGAGGGAGACTCCGACTCAAAAAAAAAAAATTACCGGGAATGGTGGTGCACACCTGTGGTCCCAGTTACTCGGAAGGCTGAGGCACGAGAATCGCTTGAACCAGGGAGGTGGAAGGTGAAATGAGCCGAGACCACGTAACTACACTCCAGCCTGGGCGACAGAGCCAGACTCTGTGTCAAAACAAACAAACAAAAAACCTCCCCCTGGCTAAATCTAGAACATTTTAAGTATAAAACAATTAAAGGTAATTAAATTATAAATCATTGAAAATGGTAGTAATGACCAAGCAAAGTGGCTCACGCCTGTAGTCCCCGCACTTTGGGCGGATCAACTGAGGGTCGGAAGTGAGACCAGCCTCAAACATGGAGAAACCCGGTCTCTACTAAAAATAGAAAATTAGCTGGACATGTTGGCGGGCGCCTATAATCCCAGCTACTGGGGAGGCTGAGGCAGGAGAATTGCTTGAACCCGGGAGGCGAAGGTTGAAGTGAGCCGAGATAGCTTCATTGCACCCCAGACTGGACAACAGGAGCGAAACTCTGTCTCCAAAATAAAAGAAAATAAAAGGTAGGAATATAAGTCCCTCATGGTAATAAACAAATCAGGGAGAAGGGAGGTTTTGTGCTTACAGTATTATGCTAAGGCCTGACTAGTAAATCAAGCAGGGGTACTGGAGTTGCAAAGTAACCATGGCAAAGAATGAGCAAGGAAAAGGGTAATCAATGAATGCCAAATCCAGGCGGACATTTTGATGAGGAACAGGACATTTTCAAGAGCTTAAAATGTCTCACTACCTTATCATGAAACCATTCTGTATCTATACTGTAACAGTGTGAATAGTCTGGTTGGAAACTACAGTTTTACAAGGCTGTGGAAACACTATAGATGATAAATGGGTAAAAACACATGACAACTGAATGCAATACCTGCTTCTAGAGTATTAAAGAGGTTGAAAATGTGATTTAAAAAAACATTTTTATAAAACATGGAAGGTAGTTTAGACAAAATTTAAATAGTAAATTTATGAGGTTGACAAATGTACTGTGGTTATAGTTATAAGGGTGCTCAGGAAGCACCCACGGAAAGTATATTTCAAAATAGTTAAAAGATGTAGAATATTACCAATACAAAGAAAGGATAAATGCTTGAGGTGATGGATATACCAATTACACATTGTATGTATCAAAATATCACATGTGATCCATAAATATGGGTAAATATTATGTATCAATTAAAAAAAAAATTGTCTCCAGACATCTTGACAAACGCCCACTAGGGGGCCAAAACCACCCCTAGTTGAGGACAACAGGACTAAATACATCAGACATTTGATCCTACCTGAGTTCTGTGAAAGTAAAAAAAAAAAGATGACATGAAGGATAATTTACCTGGACTTTTACTGAATTGGCTAGAAAACAAAAAGCATCTGAATGATTGAATAAGGAAGAAAATATGAATCTCATTAAAATCACTATAACCCTCTACCTGTTCTCTAGAGATGAAAAAAAAAAACTGACAAGACAATCTCTTTCTTATAATGTAACTAGTATACAGATGCTAAACAGAATATGCTCTACAACATAGGAGTAAAAGTAGTAGATCTGGAGTTAGGAGGCATGAGTTCTCACTAAATAGCTTCATTTCAATTGGGCTTCAGCTTAATGATCTATAAAATGGAGGTGTCATGAGAAGGCAGTAGAGAGGGCTGTAAATAGATTTCTTAATTTTTTTAATTCAATAAACGATGACTTATATTCTAGGTACAATAGTCAGGGTTAGTATATAAATGATGAAACGACAGATCTCCTTCAAGGAGATTACTACAGACTATCAGAATGACAGAGAAAATCAAAAAACAACTACAATAATACATATAAGCATTATAACAGAAGCATGTACAAAGAGCAGCATAACCACAAAAATGTAACCCAAATCTGCTTAAGGAAATCAGGAAAACCTTTACAGGGAAGTAGCATTTGAGCTAAAACTTAAAAGAAGAATAAGAATTTTGTGAGAACAAAAAGAGTAAGAAAGGGAAAGGTATTCCAGTTAGAAAGGCAACTGTACTGAGCTTTGATTCTTTTTCATAAAGAACAGCATATTTAAGGAACTATACGCATTTCAGTGGCACTATAAGATAAATGGAAAAGAGGTGAAAAGAGATCAAGCTTCATATCTAGACTAAATCCTGAAGCTTGTATGCCATGAAAACTGTTTTACTACTGTAGATGCTAATTGAAAATTTATGTGGTAAACAGATCACCCTTGTAGTAGTGTAAATACTACTACTAAGTAGTGAAAATAAGATTGGAGGGGAACAACCCGAGAGAACAATCAAGTGACTACTGCAATAGTCCACATTAAGGTAGTAAAGGCCTACAAAAGGACAATGGTTAGTGGACAGGAATGGAAAGTACTGAGGAAAGATAATGGGCAGAACTTAAGTCTGAATGTTGGAGGAATTATAACCAGTATTTATTGAGAATTTTGCTGAGTATCTTTTTTTGTAATACTTCATTTAATCCATATAATACCCCTAATGGGGATGGAAAGCAGTCCAATGTGCTAGAAGCTACTTTGCCAAAGAATCAGTTTGCCATTATTTACCAAATATTTGTTTCAGGGACTATTCATCCTGGATATATTCAAGAAATGTATCCTTGGCTAACTTAAAGAAGAAAGAAGAAAGGACACTTGCTGTAAATAACTACTGTGGTTACACCACTCCAAACTTCCAGAATATCCCATAAGTCAAAAATAATAATGAGCGAAAAAAAAAAAAAAACAAGTTAGAGAATAAGTAGCATTTAAAAATATATAAATAGCATTTTTTAAAACTTTAATAACATGGAGAATGTAACCTTGTTATTTATTAGTATATACCTATACACTAAAAGTATTTTAAAAATGCACGGTGGCCGGCCGTGGTGGTTCAACGTGTCTAATCCCAGCACTTTGGGAGGCCAAGGCGGGCAGATCACCTGAAGTCAGGAGTTTAAGTCCAGCCTGGTCAACATGGCAAAACCCTATCTCTAAAAGAAAAAGAAATGCATGGTAAGGATATGTAACTTCAGAATAGGACTTAATTGTGGTATGAGATGGAAAGGTACAAAGAGAGCTTCAATTGTATCTATGATGTCTTAATCTCTTAAAATCTGAGACAAATACGGTGAAGTATGAGACCTGTTAAAGCAGAGAAGTGGTAATAAGTGTTCAGTGTGTCATTCTAAGTATTTTCAGTTTGATATATTTCATTGAAAAAACTCATTTGAAAATTTAAATGAGGCCGGGCATGATGGCTCCTGCCTGTAATCCCAGCACTTTGGGAGGCCAAGGCAGGTGTATCACAGGTCAGGAGTTTGAGACCAGCCTGGCCAACATGGTGAAACTCCGTCTCTATTAAAATTACAAAAATTAGCTGTATGTGGTGGTGGGTGCCTATAATTCCAGCTACTCGGGAGGCTGAGGCAGGAGAATCATTTGAGCCTGGGAGGCAGAGGCTGCAGTGAGCTGAGATCACACCATTGCACTCCAGCCTGGGTGACAGGGTGAGACTCTGTCTCAAAAAACAAAAAAACATAAAACCTGAAATGAGTTTTTTAGACAGGCACAGTGGCGCACACCTGTAATCCCAATACTTTGAGAGGCTGAGGTGGGCAGATCACGAGGTCAGGAGTTCAAGACCAGCCTGGCCAGCATGGTGAAACCCCGTCACTACTAAAAATACAAAAATTGGCCGGGCATCATGCATGTGCCTGCAATCCAAGCTACTCAGGAGGCTGAGGCAGAATGGCTTGACCACAGGAGGCAGAGATTGCAGTTAGCCAGGACTGCACCACTGCACTCCAGCCTAGGTGGAATGAGACTCCATCTCAAAAACAAACAGAAAAACACCAAACAAACAAAGAAAACAAAGCTTCAGATGCTAAGCTTCATATTTTATACAGAATAAAGTCCAAGTTACCAAGGAGGGTACTCTAAGGTTCTGTACACTCTAGAATCAAACTGCTTTTCCTTTCACATCACCTACTGCTCTCCACCTAACATAACCCACATGTCACAGACAAAGTCAATATATCATTCTAGGCCAGGTGCAGTGGCTTGCACCTGTGATCCTAGCACTTTGGAAGGCGAAAATGTGTGGATCACTCGAGACTGGAGTTCAAGACCAGCCTGGCCAACATGAAGAAGCCCAATTCTACTAAAAATTTAAAAATTAGCTGGGGCTGATGGCACATGCCTATAATCCCAGCTACTCCGGAGGCTGAGGCACCAGAACTGCTTGAACAGGTAGGCAGAGGTTATAGTGAGCCGAGATCGCACCACTGCACTACAGCGAGACTCTGTCTCAAAAAAATAAAAATACTGTTATAAATATGCCATAAGCCCGGAAAAAAATTATTTTGCTCTTATGGTCTCTCAGAATATTCTTTTTACCAATCTGTATCAGGAAAAATTCATACTAATTCTTGAAAGGCAAACACAAATTTGACCACCTCTCTGAAACCAGCTTTGATAAGCAAATTCAGAATGAGCCTTTCTCTATGTTCCACAGCACGTAGTTTATTCCTTTACTATTACAACATGTCACATTGTCAGTTTCTTGTTCACTGAAGATAAGGGTTTATTACTGCTGTTGATCTTGCCAAAGAACCAGATTTTGGCTTTTTAAAGTTTCTCTATTATCTGTTTGTTTTCCACCTCATTGATTTCTACTCCATTATTTCCTTACTTGCACTTACTCTAAGGTTTACTTTGCTGTTCTTTTTCTAGCTTCCTAAGGTAGAAACTTCGGTCACTGACATTTATAGACTTTTCTTTCTTTACAACAAAAGCATTTAAACTATAATTTGCCCTCCAAGCACTGCTTTAGCTACATTCCATGAATTATGATATTACATTATCATTACCATTTGGTTAAAAATATTTTCTAACTGTGATTTCCCTTTGACTCATGGTTCATTTAAAATTGTACTGTCTCATTTCCAAATATGTGAAACATTTCTAGATATCTTATTTTAATAATTTCTATTTTAATTTTACTTGCATTGTGGTGAGAGAATATATATACATTTCAATCATTTAAAATTTATCCGCTGGGCACAGTGGCTCATGCCTGTAATCCCAGCACTTTGGGAGACCAAAGCAGGCGCATCACCAGAGGTCAGGAGTTCGAGACCAGCCTGGCCAAGAAGGTGAAACCATCTCTACTAAAAATACAAAAATTAGCCAGGCGGTGGCACATGCCCATAATCCCAGCTACTCGGGAGGTTAAGGCACAAGAATAGCTTGAATCAAGGAGGCAGAGGTGGCGAAATTGCACCATTGCCCTCCAGCCCGGGTGACAGAGCAAGCGAGACTCTGTCTCAAAAAATAAATCTATCAAAGCACACACAAAAAATGTATCAAGGCATATTTCATGGTCTATCATTTGGACTATGTTGGTGAATATATGATGTACACTCACCTACTTCACCATTTGAGGAAGTCGTGTTCAATAATTATCAATTATACTGAGGTGGTTTGTAGTATTCCTCAGATCATCTATGTCTTTACTAAATTTTTTTTTGCTAGAAATTTATTAAAAAAAATCTTTAGCACTAATTGTAAAAGTATGTTTTTCCTCTTAATTTTGTCAATTTTCGCCCTCTCTCTACATATGTGTGTGTGTGTGTGTGTGTGTGTGTATATATATATATATATATTTTTTTTTTTTTTTTTTCTTTTTAGACAGAGTTTCACCCTTTCGCCCAGGCTGAAGTGATGTGATCTTGGCTCACTGCAACCTCTGCCCCCCCGGGGTTCAGGCGATTCTCCTGCCTCAGCCTCCCCAGTAGCTGGGATTATAGGCGCCAGTCACCACGCACAGCTAATTTTTATATTTTTAGTAGAGACGGGATTTTGCTATGTTGGCCAGGCTGGTCTCTGACTCCTGACATGAGGTGATCCGCCCACCTTGGCCTTGTAAAGTGCTGGGATTACAAGTGTGAGCCACTGTACTAGGCTGCTTTATTATTTTTAACTTCCTACTGGCATGAATTTATGATTGCTACAGCTTTCTGACGAATTGATCCATTTAACATTATGAAAAGTCCCTCCTTATTTCTGATAATACTCTGTCTTATGGTCTGGTTTGTATGATACTAATAGCACCATCCAATCCCCAGCTTATCTGTCTGTACTTTTTTTTGAGACAAGAGTTTCGCTCTCACCAAGGGTAGAGTTAAGTGGATCAATTCTTGCTGAATGCAGCTCCCAACCCCCCGGGTTCAAGTGATTCTCCTGCCTCAGCCCCCCGAGTAGCTGGGATTACAGCATGCACGACCACACCCGACTAATTTTTGTATGTTTAGTAGACATGGGGTTTCTCCATGTTGGCCAGACTGGTCTCGAACTCCCAACCTCAGGTGATCCGCCTGCCTCAGCCTCCCAAAGTTCTGGGATTGCAGGTGTGAGCTACCAAACCCGGCCAGAAAAACATTTTATCGTACAATCTTAACTCCCTCAGTTGCTCTTCAAGTTCAATACTTACATGGATTCAATGCTTAGCACCAGCCCACTGTCACAGCTCCTCTATTCCAGTGTTCTTTACTTTCGTTTACTTCTTGGTTAATTATATTTGACTGTTAAATACCTTGATCAGGAAGGGCTTATAGATGCTAATTCCATGAGTTATTTTACATTTTATTAACATCGGACTGTCTCCTTAATACTTGCAAGACAACTTGTATGGTTATAAAAAAGAAATTGTGATGTGCTCCAGTCATTATGGTGAACTTAAATGCTATGGAAAACCTCACCCAAAGTAACAGAAAGTAGAAATGCTGAGTAAAACAAAATAAAAAAATAACAATATATAAGAAATACCAAAAGGATCAAAAGAAATTCCTCGGATGCCAGAAACAAGGCAGAACTCAAAGCCACTGTTGTAAAGTCTGAGTAACAGACTTGTGCCCCCAAGTGTGAAGAGGTGCTCAAGGCAGGAGCTCCCTGAATGAGGCCAAAGAATTACCTATCTAAAAAAAGAAAGTGACAATTAACGATTCCACAAGCAACATATAAAAGTAACCTTTCCCTTTGGGAGGCCGAGGCGGGTGGATCACGAGGTCAAGAGATAAAGACCAGGCTGGTCAACATGATGAAACCCCGTCTCTACTATAAATACAAAAAATTAGCTGGGCACAGTGGCACATGCCTGTAATCCTAGCTACTCAGGAGGCTGAGGCAGGAGAATTGCCTGAACCCAGGAGGCGGAGGTTGCGGTGAGCCGAGATCGCGCCATTGCACTCCAGCCTGGGTAACAAGAGCGAAACTCCGTCTCAAAAAAAAAAAAAAAAAAAAGTAACCTTTCCCCATCACTGTCAACAGTAGTTGCGTCCAGTTAATTTATCCCAATAAAGTAGATAAGAAAGGATATTGTACTAATACTACAATTTGCATTTCCTTCAGTGTCTTTTTTTCTGTCTTTCATTGATTTCAATAAGCATTGCCACTGAATTACCTATTCATATCTTTTACCCATTAACCTACGATTTTTCTTACTAATTCCTTGAAATGGAATAAACAGCAAGCCTTTACTTTTTTTTGGAACAGGGTGGTACTCTGTCACCCAGGCTAGAAATGGTGCGATCTCAGCTCACTGCAACCTCCACCTCCCTGGCTCTCATGGGATCCTCCTGCCTCGGCCTTTTGAGTAGCTGGGACTACAGGCACCTGCTACCATGCCCAGCTAATTTTTGTATTTTTGGTCGAGATGGGGTTTTGCCATGTTGCCCAGGCTAGTCTCAAACTCCTGAGCTCAAGTGATCATCTCGGCCCCCTGTGAGCCACCATACCAAGCCAAGCCTTTATTTATCTTTTATACACGAAGCAAGTTAGGTATCTTTTGAATTCTGTTTCTGGCATATTTTATCATAAAACTTTTTATCTCTAAACTTTATATATTTAAGTCTAATTTTATTTTTAAAACTCATTATTTGGAAGCTGTTATTTTCAAAACTGAAAAAAGCTAATTTTCAGCAATATTAAAATGTTTTAAGACTTCACAGTTTTAGCACTCTCCTACACTCATCTATTACTAAAAAATTGATGCAAGTCTTAACACAGCCTGAACAAATTTATTATCAACAATCACTTGGAGTATATTTTTAATTATTTTTCCAAGTTTACTTTTCTTCGTCGCTTAATTCGCTATAGACCAAAGATCCCCTGGGCAGAATTCTGACCAAAGAAAACTACCACCAATGAAGACCTTTTCATAATGACAAAGAAGTTAAAAAAGACTTAACAGTGTTAAAAGTCTATGTAGAGTTTCAAAATAACTTAGGCAAAAATTAATAGAATTTCAAGGAAAAGCCATTCACAATTAGATTGAAAGACTTCAATGTATCTTTCCCCATAAATGATAGAAGTAGATAGAAAAATCACTGAAGGATATAAAAGACTTGAAAACTCAAGACTTATTTGACCTAGCTGATATTTTATAATTCTTCAGCCAACAATGGCAGAACACACATCTTTTAAAGAACACACTGAACATTTACCAAGACATACCATATTCTGGGCCATAAAAGAATCCTGAACCAATTTTAAAAAAACAAAATTCATAAAACTATATTCTTTGACCATATGAGAATCAAAATAGGTAATAACCACAGAAAGATCGCTGGAACATCCCTAAATATATGTAAACTAAATAGCACATTCCAGGACTAAAAAGAAATCAAGAGGGAAATTAGGAAGTATTTTGAACAGAATCAAAATGAAAATGTCAAAATTTGTGGGGTGGCACCAAAAAATGTATGTAGAAAAAAACAGCACAAAATGCCGATTTGAAAAAAAAAAAAACCTTAATTCAGTGACTTGGAGTTAAGAAACTAGAAAAAGAAGAACAAATTAAACAAAAAGCAAGCAGAAAAAAGAAAATAATAAACACCAAACCAAAAATCAATGAAATAATGTCCTTAATATCTTTTCTTATCTTCCTTGTTATCTTTTAATTCCTTAAAAGATACAAACTACCAAAGAATATAGAAGCTGGGTGTGGTGGCTCATGCCTGTAAACCTAGCACTTTCAGAGGCAGAGGCGGGTGGATCATTTGAGGTCAGGAGTTCGAGAGCAGACTGGCCAACATAGCAAAACTCCATCTATACTAAAAACACAAAAATTAGCTGGGAGTAGTGGCGTGAGCCTGTAATCCCAGCTACCTGGGAGGCTGAGGTTGAAGAATTACTTGAGCTTGGGAGGCAAGGTTGGCAGTGAGCGGAGATCGCTCTACTGCACTCCGATCTGAGCAACAGAGTGAGACCCTGTCTCAAAAAAAAAAAAAAAAAAGGCCGGGCGTGTTGGCTCACGCCTGTAATCCCAGCACTTTGGGAGGCCAAAGCGGGTGGATCACCTGAGGTCAGGAGTTGGAGACCAGCCTAACATGGTAAAACCCCTTCTCTACTAAAAGTATAAATATTAGCCGGGCAGGGTGGTGAGCGCCTGTAGTCACAGCTACTGGAGAGCATAAGACAGGAAAATTGCTTAAACCTGGGAGGCAGAGGTTGCAATGAGCTGAGATCATGCTACTGCACTCCAGCCTGAGCAAGAGTGAGATTCCATCTCAAAAAAACAAACTACCAAAGCTCATTCAAAAAATATATAACCTGGCTGGGCACAGTAGTTCACACCTGTAACCCCTGCACTTTGGGAGGCCGAGGCGGGTGGTCAGGAGTTCAAGACCAGCCTAGCCAACATGGTGAAACCCCGTCTCTACTAAAAATACAAAAATACAAAAAAATGTAGGCAGGCATGGTGGCACATGCCTATAGTCCCAGGTACCTTGGAGGCTGAGACACGAGAATACCTTGAACCTGGGAGGCGGAGGTTGCAATGAGCCGAGATCAAGCCATTGCACATTGCACTTCAGTGGGGCAACGGAGTGAGACTGTATCCAAATATATGTATATTTATGCCACTTGAATATTCACATACCTATTAAAGACATTGAATTAGTAATTTAAAAGCTTCCATAAAGAAAACACCGATAAATTCATAAGTACATTCTACCAAAACATTAAAGGATTAAAAAATACAGATTCGGCCGGGCGCAGTGGCTCATGCTCGTAATCCCAGCACTTTGGGAGGCCGACGTGGGCAGATCATGAGGTCAAGACATCGAGACCATCCTGACCAACATGGTGAAATATCGTCTCTACTAAAAATACAAAAATTGGCCGGGCGTGGTGGCATGTGCCTGAAGTCCCAGCTACTCAGGAGGCTTAGGCAGAAGAATCACTTGAACCCAGGAGGCAGAAGTTGCAGTGAGCCGAGATTGCGCCACTGCACTCCAGCCTGGTGACAGAGCAAGACTCTGTCTCAAAAAAAAAAAAAAGCATATATGTATATATATATGGATTTTGGGGTAGGCGTGCCAATATGGCCGAGAGGAGGCAACACAGAAATGCAGCTCCCAGCAAATCAGACTTCGAGGGCTAGAGGACTTCATGATTCCATGCGAGGTGGCGGTTTTGGTGGGACTCATAGGACACTGAAAATAATAGCCCAGAGAAGGAGCAGAAGCAGGGAGAGAGCCACCCAGGGAGGATGAACCAAGACAGGGCAGCTGGAATGTGCAGCTGGTTCGAAGGATCGGGGACTTCACCCTCCTCGGTGCTCTGATTTGGATCCTGTGCTTACCTCAACCCTCCTGTAACTCACGGTCCATGAGAGCCCCACCAGACTGAGGGGCGCCATGCGTTGTCAATTCATATCTGCACTACTGCTCCTGCCTGGTGTCCCACTTGTTGTCAAAGGGATCTGGGCAGAAGTTTGGACCAAGGCCAGCGGGACGGACCATCGAACAAAAAGAGGCAGAGTTGAAAGCAGGGAAACAGGACATAAGGCCTGGCAGGTCCCACCACCACAAAACTCAAACTGAAGCCGGCAGGCTAGAGAGCTTGCAGGGAATACACCAGTTTGACCCCAACCCGGAAGATCAAGCTCCGGGAAGGAGAGATGCCATTGGGAAGGCCGGGCTAATCTAGCCTGCAAACAAACCAAAGGGGAGGACCACCCACCCAGCAGCCTGACTGAACCTGAGGCAGCCCAGCAGCGCTTCTACAGGCCAAAAAGGTATAGTTTCAACCTCAACAGAAATAAAGTCCACTGAGATTACTCCTAAAAGCACCAACTTATAAGACCAAAGGGAGATGAATTCACAAAGATAGGAAGAAACCAGCACAAAAAGGATGAAACCGTCAAAGACCGTAACACCTTTTCTCCTCCCAGGGATCACAACTCCTCACCATCAAGGGAACAAAACAAGACAAAGAATGAGTTTGACGAACTGACAGAAGCAGGCTTCAGAAAGTAGGTAGTAACAAACTTCTCTGAGCTAAAGGAACATGTTCTAACCCAATGCAAAGAAACTGAAAACCTTGTAAAAAAGTTAGATGAAAGGCTAACTAGAATCACCAGCTAAGAGAAGAACATTAATGACTTGATGAAGCTGAAAAACACAGCATGAGAACTTCGCAAGGCATACACAAGTTTCAACAGCCAAATCAATCAAGTAGAAGAAACGACATCAGAGATAGAAGATCAAATCAATGAAATAAAATGAAAACGCAAGATGAGAGAAAAAAGAGTGAAAAGAGACGAACAAAGCCTCTAAGAACTATGGATTATGTGAAAAGATCTAATCTACGCTTGATCGGTGTACCTGAATGTGACAGAGAGAATGAATCCAAGTTGGAAAACACTCGTCAGGATATTATTCAACAGAACTTCCACAACCTAACAAGGCAAGCCAACATTCAAATCCAGGAAATACAGAGAACACCACAAAGATACTCCTCGAGAAGAGCAACCCCAAGGCACCTAATTGTCAGATTGACCAGGGTTGAAATGAAGGAAAAAATGCTAAGGGCAGCCAGAGAGAAAGGTCCAGTCACCCACAAAGGAAAGACCATCAGACTCACAGCAGATCTCTCGGCAGAAACCCTACAAGTTAGAAGGGAGTGGAGGGCCAATATTCCACACTCTTAAAGAAAATAACTTTCAACCCAGAACTTCATATCCGGCCAAACTTAGCTTCAGAAGTGAAGGAGAAATAAAATCCTTTACAGACAAGCAATTGCTGAAAGACTTTGTCACTACAAGACCTACCTTACAAAGAACTCCTGAAGTAAGTGCTAACCATGGAAAGGAACAACCAGTATCAGCCACTACAAGCATGTGCCAAATGGTAAAGAACAATGACACAATGAAGAAACCGTGACAACTAACAGGCAAAACAAACAGCCAGTAAGAAAATGACAGGATCAAATTCAAACATAACACTATTAACTTTGAATATAATTGGCCTAAATGCCCCAATCGAAAGACACAGTCTGGCAAACTGGATAAAAAGTCAAGACCAATTGGTGTGCTGTATTGAGGAGACCCATCTCACGTGCAAAGACTCACACAGACTCAAAATAAAGGGTTGGAAGAAGATTTACACCAAGCAAATGGAGAGCAAAAAAAAACCAGGGGTAGCAATCCTAGTCTCTGATAAAATGTACTTTAAACCAACGAAGATCAAGAGACAAAGAAGGGCATTACATAACGATAAAAGGATCAATGCAACTACAAGAACTAACTATCCCAAATATACATGCACCCAATGCAGGAGCACCCAGATATATAAAGCAAGTTCTTAAGGACCTACAATGAGACTCCTGCACAATAACAGTGGGAGGCTTTAACACTCCACTGATAATATTCGACATTTCAATAATACAGAAAATTAACAAGGATATCCAGGAATTGAACTCAGATCTGGACCAAGCAGACCTAACAGACATTTACAGAAATCTCCACCCCAAATCCACAGAATATACATTCTTCTCAGCACCAGACTGCACCTACTTTAACACTCCACTGATAATATTCGACATGTCAACGAGACAGAAAATTAACAAAGATATCCAGGACTTGAACTCAGATCTGGGCCAAGTGGACCTCATAGACATTTACAGAAATCTCCACCCCAAATTCACAGAATATACATTCTTTTCAGCACCACATTACACCTACTCTAAAATTGACCACGTAATTGGAAGTAAATCACTCCTCAGAAAATGCAAAAGAATGGAAATCATAACAAACAGTCTCTCAGACAACAGAGCAATCAAATTAGAACTCAGGATTAAGAAAAGCACTCAAAACCGCACAATCACATGGAAACTGAACAACTTGCTCCTGAATGACAAAGGGATAATCAATGAAATGAAGGATGAACAAAAAAATGTTCTTCAAAACCAACAAGAAAGAAGATACTATGTACCAGAATCTCTGGGACACATTTAAAGCAGTGTCTAGAGGGAAATTTATAGCAATAAATGCCCACACGAGAAACAAGGAAAGATCTAAAATTGACAACCTATCATCAAAATTGAAAGAACTAGAGGAGCAAGATCAAAAAAACTCAAAAGCAAGCAGAAGACAAGAAATAACTAAGATCAGAGCAGAACTGAAGGAGATAGAGACACAAAACACCCTTCAAAAAAAATCAATAAATCCAGGAGCTGGTTTTTGAAAAGATCAACAAAATAGACAGACTGCTAGCTAGAATAATAAAAAAGAAAAGAGAGAAGAATCAAATAGATGCAATAAAAAATGATTAAGGGGAGATCACCACCAGTTCCTTAGAAATACTAACTACCATCAGAGATTACTACAAACATCTCTACGCACATAAACCAGTAAATCTGAAAGAAATGGATAAATTCCTGGACACTTGCACACTCCCAATACTAAGCCAGGAAGAAGTTGAAACCCTGAATAGACCAGTAACAAGGTCTGAAGTTGAGGCAGCAATTAACAGCCTACCAACCAAAAAAAGTCCAGGTACAGACGGGTTCATAGCTGAATTCTACCAGATTTACAAAGAGGAGCTGGTACCATTCCTGTTGAAACTGTTCCAAACAACACAAAAACAGGGAATCCTCCCTAACTCTTTCTATGAGACCAACATCATCCTGATACCAAAACCTGGCAAAGACACAACTGAAAAAGAAAACTACAGGCCAGTATCCATGACGAACACTGATGCAAAAATCTTCAATAAAATACTGGCAAACTGAATCCAACAGCATATCACAAAGCTTATCCACCACAATCAAGTAGGCTTCATCCCAGGGATGCAAAGCTGGTTCAACATACACATGCTAATCTATAAACGTAATCTACCACATGAACAAAACCAAACACAAAAACCACATGGTTATGTCAACAGATCAGAGAAGGCCTTAGACAAAATTCATCAGCCCTTTATACTAAAAACTCTCAATAAACTAGGTATCAATGGAACAATATCTCAAAATAATAAAAGCCATTTACAACAAACCCACAGCCAATATCATACTGAATGGGCAAAAACTAGAAGCACTACCTTTAAAAACAGGCACTAGACAAGGATGCCCTCTCTCACCACTCCTATTCAATATAGTATTGGAAGTTCTAGCCAGAGCAATTAGGCAAGAAAAAGAAATAAAGGGCATTCAATTAGGAAAAGAAGAAGTCAAACTGTCCCTATTTGTAGATGACATGATCCTGTATTTAGAAGACCCCATCATCTCAGCCCAAAACCTGCTCAAGCTGATAAACAACTTCGCCAAAGTCTCAGGATACAAAAATCAATGCACAGAAATCACAACCATTCCTACACACCAACAACAGACAAACAGAGAGCCAAATCATGAGTGAACTCCCATTTACAATTGCCACAAAGAGAATAAAATACCTAGGAATACTTAAGAGCTTCTGCACAGCAAAAGTAACAATCATTAGAATGAACCAACAGAATAGGAAAAAATTTCTGCAATCTACCCATCTGACAAAGGGTATCTACAGAGTCTACAAAGAACTAAAGTAGATCTACAAGGAAAAAAACAAGCAAACCCATTCAAAAGTGGGCAAAGGATATGAACAGACACTTTTCAAAAGAAGACATATATACAGCCAACAAACATATGAAAAAAATGCTCATTATCACTGGTCATTAGAGAAGCGCAAATCAAAACCACATTGAGATACCATCTCACGACAGTCAGAATGGCAACTATTAATAAATCTGGAGACAACAGATGCTGCAGAGGATATGGAGAAAAAGGAACACTTTTACACTGTTGGTGGGAGTATAAATTACTTCAACCATTACTGGAAGACAGTGTGGCGATTCCTCAAGGATCTAGAAATACAAATTCCATTTGACCCAGCAATCCCATTACTGGGTATATACCCAAAGGATTATAAATCATTCTATTATAAATACACATGCACACGTATGTTCGTTGTGGCACTATTTATGATAGCAAAGACCTGGAACCAACCCAAATGCCCATCAATGACAGACTGGAGAACGAAAATGTGGCACATATACACCATGGAATACTATGCAGTCATAAAAAAACAATGAGTTCACGTCCTTTGTAGAGACAGGGATGAATCTACAAACCATCATTCTCAGCAAACTGACATAAGAATAGAAAACCAAACACCACATGTTTTCACTCACAGGCAACTGATGAACAATGAGAACAACTGGGCACAGGGAAGGGAACAACACTCAGGGGACACGTGGGGGGAGAGCAGAAGGACAGCGGCAGCGGGGTGGCAGGGAGGATGGGGAGGGATAACACCAGGAGAAATGCCTGATGTAGGCGACAGAGCAAAGGGTGGATGGAGACAGCAAACCACCATGGCGTGTATGTACCTATGCAACAAACCTGCAGGATGCAGGATGTGCACATGTATCCCAGGGGCAAAAGTACAATTAAAATACTAGGCCGGGCACAGTGGCTCATACCTGTAATCCCAGAGCTTAGGGAAGTCGAGGCAGGTGGATCACCTGAGGTCAGCCTGGCCAACATGGTATAACCCCGTCTTTACTAAAAATACAAAAAAAATTAGCCAGTGTGGTGGCACACACCTGCAATCCCAGCTACTTGGAGGACTGAGGAAGAGAGAATTGCTTAAACTCAGGAGGCAAAGGTTGCAGTGAACCCACGTATCACCACTGGACTCCAGCCTGGGCGATAGAGTGAGACTCCATCTCAAAAAATAATAAGAAAAATACGGATTCTAAAAAATTCATTACAGAAAACTCAAGAGATAGTACTTAATGTCCTACTCATTTTAATGTGGCCACAAATACCCTGATATTAAACCTCACAAAGACATTATAAGAAAAGAAAATTACTTTCCAATCTTCCTCATGAAGATAAATGTTACATTCCATGGTTTTTTTCCAACTTTTATTTTGGTTTCAAGGTATACATATACAGTTTGTTAATGAGTAAATTGTGTGCCACTGGGGTTTGGTGTACAAATTATTTCATCACCCAGGTAGTAAGCATAGTACCTAATAGGTAGTTAGTTTTGAACCTCACCCTCCTTCCACTATCCTCTCTTGAGTAGGCCCTGGTGTCTATTGTTTATATTTTTGTGTCCATGTGTACTCATGTTTACTTCCCACTTACAAGGGAGAATATGGGGTATTTGGTTTTCTGTTCCTGCATTAATTTGCTTAGGATAAAGGTCTCCAGCTAGATCCATGTTGCTGCAAGAGATATGCTTTCATTTTTTATGGCTGCATAGTATTCCATGATATAAATATATCACATTTTCTTTATCTAGTTGACCATTGATGGGCACCTATCTAGGTTGACTCAAATGCAACAATTCTTAACAAAATGTTAGGAAATCTAATCCAACAATATGAAAATTAGGTAAATTATATGTTATAGTGAACCCCAAGTTTCTCTTCAAAGAATCAGTATGTCAGCATGTTCAACTCTCTTATTCTTTAAATCTCTATTTTAAAGTTTAACTTCCTCGTAATTCCAGCAAAAAACCTTCTCCACCAGTTCATCGCTAGTTCACATCTGCTCTCCCTCCCCGCTGGCTGTATCCTGAGGCATCCAGGTCACATTATCTCCCCTGGCTACCTGCTCTGACATGCCCATAACCATTCTTCCCACCAAAACACCCACCCTGCCACTCCAGCTCAGACTCCCTACTCTTTTTAAAATAGCTGATTGGGATTAGTCTAGCTTCTGCGGTCAAATCCTAGCCAATAGGGGATGACACAGCAGCAGGAACAACCCCTCATCAAGCATAAGTACCCCTTCCCCCCTTGTCCAAGCCTGCGGCCGCCATCATTACTCCATCCGTACCCCCCGAACCCTCCTATAGAAGTAAACTGCCTTGCTGAAAGAACATATCTTCGAGTGCTATTTCTTTTGCGGCATCGAAATTTTACTTTTAACAATTCTGGGGGCTTGTCCAGGATTCACTGTTCTCTTCCAGGCAGTCTCAGACCCTCTCTTTTGAGGAGACGCGTCCTGCTGCTTCATTTTACAGCAGCCTCCTGGGTAAGGGGTAGAGACCTACCCGATGTGACGAACAAGCCCAGCCTAAAACTGCCTTGCTGAGAGGACATATCTTTGAGTGCTATTTATTTTGTGGCGTCAAAATTTTACTTATAACATTATATTATGACAAAGTAGAACCCTACTTTTTTCGTAAAATCTAAGCCTGTTTCATAACTCAAAATTCAATCAATGTAATTCAATATATTACATTTAAAACTGTATTATCACCTCAGTAGACATAAAAATAGAATTTGACTAAACTGAAAACCCATTCAGGCTTTAAAATTCTCCCAAAACTAAGAATGAAAAAGAACTTATTTAATCTAACAAAAGAAACCTATAAAACAATTAACAAAAACAGGTAACTAAAGTCATACTTAATGCAGAAAGATTTAGTGCTTTACTTTCTCCAGAAGTTGGGAATAAGACATAGATTCCCATTCTCACCACTTATTTTTTTGTTTTTGTGGGGGTTTTGTTTTTCTTTGAGACAGGGTCTTTGTTGCCCAGGCTGGAGTGCAGTGGCACAATCATGGCTCACTGCAGCCTTGACCTCCCAGGCTCAGGTAATCCTCCCACCTCAGCCTCCCTGGTAGCTTGGACTACAGGCACATGCCACCATGCCCAGCTACCATATTTGTTTTTATAGAGACAAGGTTTCACCATGTTGCTCAGGGCAGTCTTGAACTTTTAAGCTCAGGAGATCCACCCACCCTGGCCTCCCAAAGAACTGGGATTACATGCATGAGCCACTGCACCAGCTTTCTCACCACTCCTAGTCAACATGGGAGTTTTGGGCAGTAAATATAAGGGAAAAAAATGTAAAGACAGTGAGACTGGAGAAGAAATAAAATTGCCCTTATTTGCATATGAAATGATCCTATTTGTAGTTCTATTATGGAATCCTTATTTATTTATTTATTTATTTATTTATTTATTTATTTATTTATTTATTTATTTATTTTTGAGACAGAGTTTTGCTCGTTACCCAGGCTGGAGTGCAATGGCGCGTTCTTGGCTCACCGCAACCTCCGCCTCCTGGGTTCAAGCAATTCTCCTCCCTCAGCCTCCCGGGTAGCTGGGACAACAGGCGTGTGCCACCATGCCCAGCTAATTTTTGTATCTTTAGTAGAGACAGGGTTTCACCTTGTTGACCAGGATGGTCTCGATCTCTTGACCTCGTGATAGACCCGCCTCGGCCTCCCAAAGTGCTGGGATTATAGGCGTGAGCCACTGTGCTCGGCTGGAATCCTTATTCTTAACCTAAGAATTCCACAGTATAACTACTATAACTAACAAAAGTTTAAGGAAGTAATCAGATACAAGATTAAAATAATGTTACTATTACTAATTCTTAACTTCTAAAAAAGAAAACATACACACATAAAAGACTAAAATCAATTATATATCTGTATACTAGCAATAAACTGAAATTAAGAGAACTCCATTCTGAATAGCATCAAAAAGAATAAAACACTTAAAATAATTTTAACAAAAGAAGAGAAAGATTTATACACTAAAAACTGCAAAATACTGCACGTAGAATTTGAAGCAGATATATAAATGGATGAAACTATATGAAAATCCTTGTTCATGGACTTGACAATGCAATATATATTTATGAAGGCAAGTCTTATCCTATTGATCTATAAATTCAATGCAGTCCCTATCAAAATCTCAGAAAGCTTTTTTTAAATAGAAAATTGCAAGCTCATTTTAAATGCAAAGAATGCAGATCACCTGAAATAATGTTGAAATACCACAAAGTACATGATCTTTCACTACCCAACTTTAAAACTAAAGTATCAACAATAATCAACTGATGAAAGACCAGACACAGAAAACAACTGATGTAATGGACTTCATGAAAATTAAAAATTTTAGTACTTCAAATGACACCATTAAGAAAATAAAAAGACAAGCTACAGACTGAGAAAAAAATGTGGAAATCACATTTCTGATAACACACTTGAGTACAAAATAAAGAACTCCTACAATGTAATAAGAAAGTAATTTTAAATGAACAAGATTTAAATAGATATTTCATCAAAGACATAAAAATGACCAATAAGCAAATGAAAAGATGCTCGATTCCGTTAGAATTTAAGAAAAGTCGAAACAAAATCACGATGAGATACTACTTCACACCAATTAGAATGGCTATAATCAGGTAATAATGAGGAAAGAAACTCCTCTTTCCAGTCTCTTGTCTCAAAGGAGGAGGAAGTAAAAGTTGAGACATAGCAGGCATGACATCAGTGGCCTGGAGGTTAAAGATTAAAAACTCCCCCCACCACCCTTATGATCTCAGGTGATCTTAAGGGTGGGGACAATATGGAGAAATGCCCTCTATTGTTCCCATTCAATCTTGCTCAACAAACCCCCATCATTGATCACGACCCCCTCACATGTACTTTCTAAAACTGTAAACCCAAGACCCTTTCACATGTAATATCTAGCGTTGTAAGCCTATATAAAGGCAGAGGTTTCCTTTGTTAGATGAGCTTGGCTGCTAGGCAACTATACCACCTTGCTCCCGGCCAAATAAATCACCCCTTCCTTCCCAGTCCCGTGTTCGAGAGGTCTGTTTCTTACAGTTGCTCCTGCTTTAATAACAAGTGATGATGTGGAGAAATAAATGTTAACTCATACATGGTTGGTGAAAATGTAAAATAGCATATTCACATTGGAAATCAGTTTGGTAGTTTCTTTAAAAGCTGAATAAATACTTGCTATATAACCCAGCTATTCTATTCTAAGGAATCTACAGAATAGAAATGAAAATATATTAGGACATTTACATTAATGTTCACAGCAGTGTTTATTCATCATAATAGCCCTCCCACCAAAAAAAAAAAAAACAAAAAAGGAAACAATCCAACTTTTAGTCAAGTGCTGCACAGAGAAACAAAATGTGACATATTTATAAAACTGAATAATACTCAGCTCTAAAAAGGAATAAAATACTTATAAATGCTACCACATGAATAAATCTCAGAAACATTTTAATAAATGAAGGAGGTCAGACTCAATAGAACAAATCCTGTATGATTTCATTTACATGAAATGTCTAGAAAGGATGAACTTAAAGACAGGATATCGAGGTAGCCTGGGACGGGAGCAGAAGAGACTATAAATGGGCTTGAAGAAACTTTTGGAAATAATAAAATGTTTTAAAACTGGATTCTGATGACAGCTTCAAGCTATAAGTTTACTAAAACTAGGTGAATTGTACACTTACAATGGATAATTTTTATGGTATATTATACCTTAGCAACACTTAAAAAAAGAACCAAATTGAGATGTTTTTTAGTGAAAACATACAACATTTACAATAAAAAATATATATCCACTGGAGATCTCAATAGCAGAATGCAGACAGGAACATGAAACAGAATTTGAGATCAATAGAAATTACCCAATCTGAAAAATAGAATTAAAAAAGATTGAAACAGAACAAACCTCAGGACCTATGGAACAATAGCAAAATGTCTAACATACATGTCATCACAGTCTCAGAATGAGAAAAAAAAAATCATGCAGAAAAAATGTTTGTAGAAATAACAGCCAAAAACTTCCCAATTTGATAAAAGATAAATCTACATATTTAACTTCAGCAAAGCCAAACAATATAAACTGAAAAGGCGTGCCCAGAAATACCATAAATTGCTGAAAACTAAGGAAAAAGGAAAAAATTTGAAAACAGCTATAAAAGAACCCAGCACATTACATATGACGAAGGAATGATTCAAACGACGGCAAATTTATTATCAGAAACTATGAAGGACAGTAGTAGAAAAATACCTTTAAAGAGCTGCAAGAAAAAAAAAAAATCCCATCAATTACCAATTCTATATCCAGCGAGTGAAAATGTTTTTCAGGAATGAAGGTGAAATGAACACATGCCTAGATGAAGGGAATTTAAGACAATTCACCTCAGGCAGAGTGGTGATTAAATGATAAAAGGAGGTCTTTAGTCTGAAGGGAAATGATTAACTAGGGAAAGCTTAGATCTTTAAGGATGAGGGAAAAACAAAAGAACTGGTTAAAAAAAAAGAAGTGGTAAATTACTAAGTAAACATAAAAGACTCTTTTTCTCTTCTTATTTAAAATATGTATAACTCCTGGAAGTGGAAACACAATGCAAATGCAAAACACATGGCAACTATTTAAAAAATTAGTGAGAAAAAATAAATCAGTGAGGGAGTATAGAGAGATGCATATGGGTATAAGGCTTCCATGTTTTACCTCAAGTGGTAAAACATTAAATCTACCTAAACTGTTAGATGATTGTTTATGAGATACAATTCGAATGTATAAAAGATAATTAAGGGTGGGCACAGTGGCTCACACCTGTATAATCCCAGCATTTGAGAGGCCTAGGCAGGCAGATCATCTGAGGTCAGGAGTTCCAGACCAGCCTGGCCAACGTGGCAAAACCCTGTCTCTACTGAAAATACAAAAATTAGCCAGGCGTCGTGGCACATGCCTGTGGTTAGTCTCAGCTACTCGTGAGCCTGAGGCAGAAGAATTGCTTGAACCCAAGATGCGGGAGTTGCAGTGAGCTGAGAGTATGCCATTGCACTCTAGCCTGGATAAGAGTGAGACTCTGTCTCAAAATAAATAAAGATAATTAAGATGGAATACTAAAAAATGTTCAAATGATACAGAAGAAAAATGTAAGAAACAGAAATAAAAATAACAAAGACGACAAACCTCAAATATATAGGGCTCTAAAAACAACATAACTACCTCACTTAGAAAAGGCTTGACAAAAGCAAAGTTATGATTTTTTTTTGACCCTATCAGAGAAGTGAAATCACAGGACAAAAAAATACAGAAATCTGAAAAAAGGTAGGTACCTGCAAGGAAAAACAGAATCTGAGCATTTGATTACTGGGACAAATGCCATGAACGTCAATATACAAGCAGGTAGAAAGATTTAACTAGAAATTACAATCAGTTGCCTAAAGGCCTAGTGTGGGCTAGCATGAGATTAGGAAGCCCCTCAGGTTTCAAATATGGAGGTGGGGTTGCAGACACCTGGAGCTATTATCAACAGGTAGCCACAGGAAAGATCAGAGATCACAGAGAAAGACCCCTTTGTTACTATCTGGGGGAAAGAAATAGCAGCTATGGCTGAAAAATCAAACCAGATCTACCTTTCTTAACTTACAGAAAAGATCATGAAGTACTGGGTAAGGGAATATAAGGCAGACTAAAATTTCCCAGAGGTCTCTTATCTCACCTAAGGAGCAAAAACCTTAGGGCAATTTTCGGGGACACCCTGGAGTGGAAGCCAACAAGGGCTGGGTAAGGAAATAAGGAACACATAAAGCTTTTTAGCCTTAGGGGAGGAATGGAAATAAATACTAGGCATTGACGCCGAAGAAAAACGACTTACGATAGTGACACCCACAAGGACCCCATTCACAGTGCCTACTTAAGGCTGAGTCTAAATCAGAACATTAGAGAATATGCCTCTTCCCCCGACCCCCCCAACCACAGGCTAATAAATAATAAATATCAAGTAAAATTAGAGTAATGCACAGGGGAGAACTGAAAAACACAGCCCCTCTCTAGAGAAGAGTGAAAAGGTAAAAATCCAAAGCCTAGCAAGGTACAAAAACAAGGTATCGCTGGGCACGGTGGCTCACGCCTGTAATCCCAGCACTTTGGGAGGCCGAGGCGGGTGGATCACGAGGTCAAGAGATGGAGACCATCCTGGTCGACATGGTGAAACCCCGTCTCTACTAAAAATACAAAAATTAGCTGGGCATGGTGGCACGTGCCTGTAATCCCAGCTACTCAGGAGGCTGAGGCAAGAGAACTGCTTGAACCCAGGAGGGGTAGGTTGCGGTGAGCCGAGATCACGCCATTGCACTCCAGCCTGGGTAAAAAGCGAAACTCCATCTCAAAAAAAAAAAAAAAAAAGGTATCATTTACAGGGTTTGAAGTTTCTGATGCACAGAAAGTAACCATGCTAACAACAAACTTTAATCCCAGCCCAACTCCTAATTTCACACAAACCTCCACAATAATAGCCTAGATGAAGAAAAGGTGTGCTTATCTCAAAGAAAAAATATATATATATCTCAGTATCTACTACATTATACAATGTCTGACTCTCAACCATAATTATAATGTATACGAAAACAGAAAAAAATACCATCTGAAAAGAATACAATCTTCAAACCCAGACTCAAATATGAGATGCCAAAATTAACAGAAAATGAAAAGTAACTGTAATACCTTGTGTCCTTCTTACTCTCATTTATTAGTTCCAAGTTTTGGGAGATGCTCTAAAAACGTCTAGGTAGACAATCTTATATTCTACAAGGAAAGATTTATTTCTTCCATTCTAGTCTATATTTCTTTTTCTTGTATCAGCAGTGATGAGAGAGGACATCTTTGCACTGTTCCTGATCTGAGCAGTAACATCCAGTCTCCTACCATTAATAAGTGGAGTAAGACTAAATGCAAAAGAAGCTATACGTAAGCATTATATTCCAGTTGATAAAGTTGTTTCCAGTGAAGGTAAAAATCAACAATTTTGAAACAGCTCTACCTGTATAATGAAGTAGTACAATCATGTAAATGAATGGTAAATGTTAGAAGACAGGCTCTTCTCTGTTGGAGTGAATATAGACAAACAAGGAGATACATGACTAGAATTAACCATGTGGTAATGGATTAGTTAGAAATATCAGTAGGAACTCATGTGCAGCCAACTAAAATATCGATAGTTACATACAAAAATATATATAAATAGGTATCTATACATGGGTTGGTATACATATCTATCTATACTTCCTCTGAGAAGAGTTGGCTGTAGAATACAAACCTACATGCCAGGTGCAGTGGCTCACACCTGTAATCCCAGCACTTTGGGAGGCCAAGACAGGTGGATCACCTGAGGTCAGGAGTTCGAGACCAGCCTGGCCAACATGATGAAACCCCTTTTCTACTAAAAATACAAAAAATTAGCCAGGCATGGTGGTGGGCACCTGTAATCCTAGCTACTTGGACGCTGAAGCAGAATTGCTTGAACCCAGGAGACAGAGCTTGCAGTGAGCCAAGATCGCGCCACTGCACTCCAGCCTGGGTAACAAGGATAAAAACTGCATCTAAAAAAAAAAAAAAAACCTATATAAATTGTTCTGTTTTCCTACCTATTAGCAATGAACAATACAAAAATGAAATTAAGAAATCAATTCCAAACTGGGCGCAGTGGCTCCCGTGTGTAATCCCAGCACTTTGGAAAGCCAAGACGGGTGGATCACGTGAGATCAGGAGTTAAAGAGCAGCCTGACCAACGTGGAGAAATCCCGTCTCTACTGAAAATACAAAAAAATAAAAATCAGCAGGGCGAGGTGAGGCAGGAGAATCGCCTGAACCCGGGAGGCAGATGTTGCAGTTAGCCAAGATCGCACCATTGCACTCCAGCCTGGAAAACAAGAGCGAAACTCTGTCTCAAAAAAAAAAAAGAAACAAAAGCAACCAATTCCATACAAAATAGCTTCAAAGAGACTAAATCTTTAGGAATAACTCAACAAAGAATTGCAAGATTTGTATAAAGAAAACTATACAATGTTCTCGAAGAAAATTTTAAAACTGTTACAGTGAACCCCGTTCCTCTTCAAAGAATCAGTACCTCAGTATGCTCAGTTCTCTTATTCTTTAATTCTCTATTTTAAAGTTTAACTTCCTTGTAATTCTAGTAAACAACTTTCTCCAAAGGTTCTAATCAGTAGTTCACATCAATCCCCTCCCCCCAATCCTGACTCATCCTGGTCAGCTGATCACCCTTGGCTACCTGATCCACCTGCTCTGACTGTCCTTCCCGCCAAAACACCCAACCTGCCACTCCAGCTCCAAGTGGTATGTGCTCCCAAAAAACACATAATCTTACAGGTATATGCACCTAATCAAAGGTTTTCCAAATGATTAAGACAATAGATAGATATGTGAGCCGAGATCGCACCACTGCACTCCAGCCTGGGCAACAAAAGTGAAACTCCATCTCAACAGCTATAAAAAGACAAGTGGGCAAATCCAAAATTAGTTTGAGATTTCAACACTGCTCTCTAAAACATTAATAAAACAAGTAAAAAGTCAGAAATGGTATGGAGGGCCTGAACACTAGTATCAAACAACTTGATATAATGATAGAACACTTTAAGCAACAACAGAATACATATTTTTCTCAATTATATGTAGCATTCACAAAGACAGATCAGGTTTTGGCCTATTAAATAAACCTCAATTAATTATTTAAAAAATCAGAAAAAAATACAAGGCATATTCTGAGACCATAAAAATTAGAAATAAACAACAACAGCAAAAATCTGTAAAATTCCCTCAAACAATTGGATATGAAACAAGAAACTTTCAAATAACACATAGGTAAAAAACAAAGCCTCATAAAAAATTAAAACATGGATTGAACTAAAGAACAATACAAATACAATATATCAAAACATATAGGATGCAAAGGAAATTAACAGGGAAATTTATAGCACTTAATACTTACATTAAAAAATAATAAATATCTAAAAGCAGTAACCAAAGTTTGTGCCAAAGGAACTAGAAAAAGAAGAGCAAAATAAATATAAAGATGAAGAAAGAGAATAATAAGCATTGAGAGCAGGCATCTGAAACAAAAAACCAAAGAACAGAGACATACAAAAAAAAAAAGGAAATCAATAAAACCAAAAGCTGAGGCCAGGCGAGGTGGCTCACACTGATAATACCGGCACTTTCGGAGGCTGAGATGCATGGATCATGAGGTCAGAAGTTTGAGACCAGCCTGGCCAACATGGGGAAACCCCATCTCTACTAAAAATACAAAAATTACTGGTGGCGGGCACCTGTAATCCCAGCTGCTCAGGAGGCTGAGGCAGGAGAATCACTTGAACCTGGGAGGCATAGGCTGCAGTGAGTTGAAATTGTGTCATTGCACTCCAGGCTGGGTGACAAGAGCAAGGCTCTGTCTCAATTTTAAAAAAATTAAAAAGCTGATTATTTGAAAACACTGACAAAATTGAACAACCTCTAGTCACAGAAATAGAGAATATGTAAATCATCAGTACCATAAAATGATGCCAAAGATATTAGGATAATGAAGGAATACTATAAAAAATTCTATGCCCATGAATTTGCTAAGTTATACAAAATGAAATGATTATGTGAAAGACACAGACTACCAAAATTTGCTCAAGAAAACCCGAATAGCCCTATTTCTAGTAAGTAAGTTGAATTTGAAGTTATAAACCTCCTAACGATGAAAACCATAGGCCTACATGGTTTCAATGGTGGATTCTACCAAACAATCAAGGAAGAAATAATATCAACTCTACACAATTAGTTCCATTAAATAGAAGAGAACATATTTCAATTACAAAGCTAGCATTACCCTGATGACAAAAGCAGAGAAAAACATTACAACAAATGAGAATTACAAATAAAACCATACATTTATGTTAAATTGGGTTTTGACAAAGGCGTCAAGAACATACAATGAAGAAAGGACTGCCTCTTCAGTAAATGGTATTGGGAAAGTTGTATATCCACATACAGAAGAATCAAGTTAGACCTTTGTCTCATATACAGAAAACAACTCAAAATGAATTAAAGACACTAGACCATAAACTGTACAACTACTAGAATAAAACATAGGGAAAATGCTCTTGGTCTGTGCAAAGATTTTATAAATATCACCCCCAAAAGCATACACAACTAAGGCAATATTTTAACTTAAAATGGGATCACATCCAACTAAAAGTTAACTACACAGCAAAGAACACAATAACTGAACACAGCAACAACCCACAAACTGGGATAAAATAGTTGCAAATCACATATCAAATAATGAGATAATACTCAAAATATATAGAACTTCAACAATTCAATAGCAAGAAAACCAAGAATCCAATTTAAAAGTGGGCAAGGGACCTAAACAAACATTTCTCAAAAGAAAAATATAAAAATAGCCAATGGACGTATGAAAAACTGTTCATTATCACTTGCAAATTAAAACTACAATGAAGTATCACCTCATACCTGTTAGTATGGCTATTTCCAAAAAGACAAAAGATGGTATTGTTGAGTGTGTGTAGAAAAGGGAATCCTTGTGCAGTTGGTGAAAATGTCAATTAATATAGCCATTTCAGAAAACAGTACAGGTTCCTCAAGAAACTAAAAATAAATTTATATATAATCCACCAATCTCACTTTTTGGTGCATATGCAAAGGAACTGAAAGCAGTATGTCACCGGGTGTGGTGGATCATGAGGTCAGAAGTTTGAGGCCAGCCTAGCCAACATAGTGAAACCCCATCTCTACTAAAAATGCAAAAATTACCTGGGCATGGTGGCGGCCAGCTGTAATGCCCAGCTATTCGGGAGACTGAGGCAGGAGAATCACTTGAACCTGGGAGGCAGAGGTTGTAATGAGCCGACATCACACCACTGCACTCCAGCCTGGGCAACAGAGCAACACTAAAAAAAAAAAAGGAATCAGTATGTCAAAGAGATATCCGCACTCTTGTGTTCACTGCAACATTATTTACAATAGCTAAGATATAGAAGCAATTTGCATGTTCATTATGAGATAAAGAAAATATGATATACGTACATAACAGAATACTATTCAGCCTTTAAAAAGAAGGAATTCTGTTATTTATGAAAACATGGATAAACCTGGAGGACATCATGTAAGTGAAAAATGCCAAGCACCAAAGACAAATACCACAAGATCTCACCTATATATGTAGAATCTAAAACAGTCAAACGCATAGACATAGAGTAGAACAGTCGTTACCAGTGACTGGAAAAGTGAGGTGGATGGGGAAAGGGGAGATGTTGATTAAAAGGTTAAAAATAAAAATCTCAGATATGAAGAATAAGTTTTAGTGCTCTATTGCACACAATGGTGACTATAACAAATAATGTACTATACTTTTCATAATTGCTAATCGAATAAGTTTAATTGTTTTCACCATCAAAAAACTGGTAAGTATCTGAGGTAATGGATTTAATTAGGCTGATTCAATCATTCCACAATGTAAACATATATCAAAATACCACACTGTGCCCCAAATATATAATATACACAATTTTAAAAAAAATTTAAATAGGAAACTACAAGTCAATCTCTCTAATGGGCATAGATAAAAACTTGTCAACAAAATATTAACAAATCCAACGATATAAAAAAATGATAATACACTGAAATTAGCTGGGTTTCATACAAGGAGTGCAAAGTTGGTTCAACATTTAAAAAAATGAATAAAATTCAATATCAATCATTTAAAGACTGCACAATCATGTCAATAATACAGAAAAGGGCATTTGCAAATTCAACATCTTTTCACAATAAAAACTCTCAGAAAACTAAAAGTAGAATGGAGGTGCTTAACCTAATAAAGGGCATCTATGAAAGACCTATAGGTAACATGCAGAGTGGAAAACAGTGACCTCCCACTCTACCCTATTCAATATTGTATTAGAAGGCCTATAAAGCCAGAAAAACAATTATAAGGCACATATATTGCAAAGGAAGAAATTTTTAAAAGACTCTTATTTGCAGAAAACAACTGTGTCTGGAAAATATAAAATAATCTATTTTAAAAAAGAACCTTTTAGAACAAAAAAGGTGAGTTAAGCAGGGTTGCAGAACACAAGGCCCAATAAACAAAAATCAATCATGTTCATATAAAGGAGCTAGGAATAACTAGAATTTCAATTGAAAAAACACAAACAATACAATTTTAATCATAGCACCCCCAAAAGAAAATTCTTATGTATAAATCTAACAAAATATGGCAGGATCTATATTCTGAAAACTACAAAACGTTGATGAAATAAATCGAAAAAGATCTGGATAAATAGGAAATACTATATTCATGAATCGGAAGACTCAGTGAGGTACAAATGCTCTCCAATTTCATTTAATAGATTCAATAACATTCCAACCAAAATTTCAGCAATGTCTCCTTGTAACTATTGCCAAATTTATTCTAAAATTTATATTAAAAAGCAAAGAAACTAAAACAGCAAAAACAATCATGAAAAATTAAAAAAAGTTGAAAGTTAATACTACCTGATTTATAGACTTAAAAGAAATATTTAGTAATCAATACCATGTGGTACTGGTGAAAGAATAAATACAAATATCAGTGGAAAAGGAGTCCAGAAAAATACCATTCAAATCTAGTTATTTTCAACACAGATGCAAAAACCACACAATGTAGAAAGGATAATCTTTTTTTTGTTGTTGAGTCAGAGTCTCACTCTGTCCCCAGGCTGGAGTGCAGTGGCTCCATCTCAGCTCACTGCAACCTCCGCTTCCCAGATTCTCCTGCCTCAGAGTCCCAAGTAGCTGGGACTACAGGTGTCCACCTCCACGCCTGGCTAATTTTTGTATTTTTAGTAGAGATGGGGTTTCACCATACTGGCCAGGCTGGTCTCTAACTCCTGACTTGTGATCTCTCCACCTCAGCCTCCCTAAGTGCTAGGATTACAGGTGTGAGCCACCAAGCCCGGCCTGAAAGGATAATCTCTTTAACATAAAGTGCTGAAACAACTAGAGGACCACATACAAAAAAAGGTGACAACGTATTACCTCACTCATTATTCGAATATCAATTAAAATGAATCATGGACCTAAACGTAAAAAGATAAACTATATGACATCTACAAGGAATAATGTAAGAAAACACTTGAACATTAGAAATTGTAATAAAGGTACAATATTAGTAATAAAGGTACAATATTAATGCTAGTTGATAAATTTTTTATAGGAATTTAGGCAGTTATAAAACCACTTTACATTTATAATAGAGTAGAACAAATAAGTAAATATCAATAACAGGACTCAGTTTTCTTACTATTAGAGAAAGAAGTTTTTTGTTTTGTTTTGGGGTGGGGAGCGGGGGCAGGGACAGTCTTGCTCCTTCACCCAGGCTAAATAAAGTGCAGTGGCGAAATCTTGGCTCACTGCAACTTCCGCCTCCTGGGTTGAAGGGATTCTCCTGCCTCAGCCTCCCAAGTAGCTGGGATTACAGGTGCCTGCAAACATGCCTGGCTAATTTTTTTATTTTTAGTAGAGATGGGGTGTCACCATGTTGGCCAGGTGACTCTCGAACTCCTGACCTCAGGTAATCCACCCTTCTCAGCCTCCCAAAGTGCTGGGATTACAGGCGTGATCCACAACGCCCGGCCCGAGAAATAAGTTTTAAAATAAGCACGTGGCCAGGAGCAGTGACTCATACCTGTAATCCCAGCACATTGGGAGCCCAAGGTGGGTGGAACACCTGAGAGAGTGCGAGACCAGTCTGACCAACATGGTAAAGCCCCATCTCTACTAAAATACAAAAATTGCTGACCATGGTCCCGTCTTTAATCCCAACACTTTGGGAGGGCGAGGCAGGTGGATCACTTGAGGTCAGGAGTTCGAGACCAGCCTGGCCAACATGGCGAAATTCCATCTCTCCTAAAAATACAAAACTAGCCAGGTGACATGGCGCATACCTGTAATCCCAGCTACTTGGGAGGCTGAAGCAGGAGAATCACGTGAACACGGGAGGCAGAGGTTGCAGTGAGCCTGCGCAACAGAGTGAGACTTGGTCTCAAAAAATAAATAAAATAAAATAAAATAAGCAAGTATGAAAGCTAATCTCAGATGACAGTCAGATATCACTGTACATTTATGTTTAAGAGATAGCTATATAAGCTCTCTTCGTCGTCGTCGTCTTTTTTTTTTTTTTAATTTTTTTTAAATTTTTATTGGATTTTAGGTTTTGGAGTACATGAGCAGAGCATGCAAGACAGTTGTGTAGGTACACACATGGCAGTGTGCTTTGCTTTTCTTCTCCCCTTCACCCACATTTGGCATTTCTCCCCAGGCTATCCCTCCCCACCTCCCCCTCCCACTGGCCCTCCCCTTTTCCCCCCGATAGACCCCAGTGTTTAGTACTCCCCTTTCTGTGTCCATGTGTTCTCATTTTTCATCACCCACCTATGAGTGAGAATATGCGGTGTTTCATTTTCTGTTCTTGTGTCAGTTTGCTGAGGATGATGTTCTCCAGATTTATCCATGTCCCTACAAACGACACGAACTCATCATTTCTGATTGCTGCATAATATTCCATGGTGTATATGTGCCACATTTTTCCAATCCAGTCTATCATCAATGGGCATTTGGGTTGATTCCAGGTCTTTGCTATTGTAAACAGTGCTGCAATGAACATTCGTGTACATGTGTCCTTATAGTAGAACGATTTACAGACTTTTGGATATATACCCAGTAATGGGATTGCTGGGTCAAATGGAATTTCTATTTCTAAGGCCTTGAGGAATCGCCACACTGTCTTCCACAATGGTTGAACTAATTTACACTCCCACCAACAGTGTAGAAGTGTTCCTTTTTCTCCACATCCTCTCCAGCATCTGTTGTCTCCAGATTTTTAATGATCGCCATTCTAACTGGCGTGAGATGGTATCTCAATGTGGTTTTGATTTGCATCTCTCTGATGACCAGTGACGATGAGCATTTTTTCATATGATTGTTGGCCTCATATATGTCTTCTTTCGTAAAGTATCTGTTCATATCCTTTGCCCACTTTTGAATGGGCTTGTTTGTTTTTTTCCTGTAAATCTGTTTGAGTTCTTTATAAATTCTGGATATCAGCCCTTTGTCAGATGGGTAGACTGTGAAAATTCTTTCCCATTCTGTTGGTTGCCGATCCACTCTAGTGACTGTTTCTTTTGCCGTGCAGAAGCTGTGGAGTTTCATTAGGTCCCATTTGTCTATTTTGGCTTTTGTTGCCAATGCTTTTGGTGTTTTGTCGTCGTCATCATCTTCATCGTCATCCCAGCCAAACCACTGTTTCATCTCATCGAGGAAGGCCCGGTAATCACCTAGGATAGGGCTATCCATCTCGATGTAGGGCACCACCCACTCCTCGGCTTCCCCGGTGAGGAGGCTGATTAGGAATGCCACCTTCATGGCGTCGTTGCAGAATTGGTTCTCGTTCACGAGCATGTAAGACGCCGTCTGCACGATAAACTCGGGGAGCCGAGAACTCTCGCCATTAAACGTTTCGGGGAAGGGCACCGGGCAGCTTGGCGGACGTACCTGGCGCAGCAGGCTGGCCCTCTCGCACACCAGCAGCCGCAGCTGTTCCATGAGCTGGCTGCTCTCGATGCTCAGGGCGCGGTGCCGCATCAGGAGCGCATGCAGCAGCAGCACCAGCTCATTCACCATGGCGAACGGCTTGGAAGTACAGGGCTCGGCTCGGTGCGGCTCGGCTCGGACAAGATATGCCGGTAAAGACCATGGCTTCCACTCACTCCTTTGTGCCTCCTGGTGTTTACCCACATGTCCTTGCATGATGTGGTGAGCCTCCCCCCCTCAGAAAATCTCTAAAGAAGGTTTGGGGGGACTCAAGATGGCGCTGTGAGAACAACCCAGGATTGGAGCTCTCGTTGTGTCCGCG